CCACACACATACAGCACCCAGCATACAGCACCCACAGACATACACAGCACCCACACACATACAGCACCCACACATACAGCACCCACACACACACACACAGCACCCACACACATACACAGCACCCACAGACATACACAGCACCCACAGACATACACAGCACCCACATACATTTAGCACCCACAGACATACACAGCACCCACACACATACATCACCCACACACATACAGCACCCACAGACATACACAGCACCCACAGACATACACAGCACCAACACACACATACAGCACCCTCACAAACACACACAGCACACAAACAGCACCCTCGCACACACACAGCACACTAACAGTACCCTCACAAACACAAACAGGACCCTAACAAACACACACACAGCACACTACCAGTACCCTCACACACAAACAGCACCCTCACACACAGTACATTAACAGCACCCTCACAAGCGCACACACACAAACAGCACCCTCACACACAGTACATTAACAGCATCCTCACAAGCACGCACACACAAACACCCTCACCCACATAGCACACTACCAGCACCGTCACCCACACATCACACTAACAGCACCCTCACACAGCACACACACACACACACACACAGCAGTGTGTGTATATATGTGTATGTATATATATATATATATATATATACACACATATATATATATATATATATATATATATATACATAAATACATATATATATATACGGCGTGTGCTTGTGCTTTAGGGTGCACACCCTAATGCAATAGGCTGCGCACGCCTATGGTTGTGTGTTTGTGATGGTACTGTTAGTGTTCTGTGTGTGAGGCTGCTGTTTGTGTGTGAGTGTGCTGTTTGTGTGTGAGGGTGCTGTTTGTGTGCTGTGTGTGAGGGTGCTGTTAGTGTGCTGTGTGTGAGGGTACTGTTAGTGTGCTGTGTGTGTGTTTGTTAGGGTTCTGTTAGTGTGCTGTGTGTGGGTGCTGTTTGTGTGCTGTGTGTGTGTGTCATGTGTTTGTGAGGGTACTGTTAGTGTTCTGTGTGTGTGAGGGTGCTGTTTGTGTGTGAGTGTGCTGTTTGTGTGAGGGTGCTGTGTGTGTGTTTGTGAGGGTGCTGTAAGTGTGCCTTGTGTAAGGGTTCTGTGTGTTTGTGAGGGTGCTGTGTGTTTGAGGGTGCTGTATGTGTGTGGGTGCTGTGTGTATGAGGGTGCTGTGTGGGTGTGCTGTGTGGGTGTGCTGTGTGTGAGGGTGCTGTGTGTGTGGGTGCTGTGTGTGTGTGAGGGTGCTGTATGTGTGTGGGTGCTGTCTGTGTGGTGTATGTGTGTGGGTGCTGTATGTGTGTGAGGGTGCTGTATGTGTGTAGATGCGGTGTGGGTGCTGTCTGTGTGGTGTATGTGTGTGGGTGCTGTATGTGTGTGAGGGTGCTGTATGTGTGTAGATGCTGTGTGGGTGCTGTCTGTGTGCTGTATGTGTGTGGGTGCTGTATGTGTGTGTGGGTGCTGTATGTGTGTGAGGGTGCTGTATGTGTGTAGATGCTGTGTGGGTGCTGTCTGTGTGCTGTATGTGTGTGGGTGCTGTATGTGTGTGTGGGTGCTGTATGTGTGTGAGGGTGCTGTATGTGTGTGTGTGCTGTGTGTGTGAGGGTGCTGTATGTGTGAGGGTGCTGTATGTGTGTGGGTGCTGTATGTGTGTGAGGGTGCTGTATTTGTGTGTGTGCTGTGTGTGTGTGCTGTATGTTTGGGTGATTTGTGGGGGCAGATCAGTTAATATCCCTACTCCCTTCTTACCTTATGTAGGGAGGGGGGATCCTTGTTGCTGCTGCCTTCCCTGGTGGTCCAGTGGAGAGTGAACTCTAGCCTGCGGGGCAAGAGTTCACTCTCGCGAGATTTGAGTGTTGCCGCGGCAACGCTCAGATCTCGCGAGAGGTACCTGGCTTTGCCGCTGGCAATAGCTCCCCGGGTCCTCTCCTGCCTACCTTCCTGCATGTGGGCTGGTGAGGGAGATCTTTGATCTCCCCACCGGCCCATGGAGGCTGAGAGCAGAGCCGGCACTCCCCTGCCGGTCTCAATCCAGAGGCGTGCCACAGGCACACCCGACACACCCCGTGCACACGCCTATGACTGCCGACATGTGAGTGTGTCCTTGGAATACAAGGTGTTTCTGGCTTGTCAACTGGATATTGTGAATCGGGCTTCTCGGCCACTCGCAGATCCACACGATTGCGTTGGTAGAGAGTTCCTTTGATATCCAAAAGATAAGAGCGTGGTGCAACATTTTGCAGACAGGTTCCCATTCTCCAGCGCTCTGTTAGATCTCCTAGAAGTGGTTTCATATGGATTTGTTTCCCAATATTCAGTTCAGGTAAATCCCTAGCAGATGAGTCATATCTTGCCTTAAGTCATAACTTTTCTGGTACACCTTGTATCACAGAGGGTTAAATAGCTTGCTGGCTACTGTTAAGGAGGTCTTTAATTTCCTTGACATCAGTCTCTGCGCCGGACTACTATCCATACCCTCTGTTGGAGTGTTTCTCCAATGTAAGATGGCTTTCCATGAATCTTTACCATCACTTTTAGCCTTTTTGAATAAATTCTTGGTTGACCATGATGTGCAAATTGCACCTTGCATCGCTTAATTGTAGTTTAGTAAAATCATTGTTTAGTGAATAAGCGAGTGTGCTGGATTGTGTATTTTGTATATTTTGGCCCCAGCAGCACCCTGTAATGTATGCATGTTCAGGTGAGTGCAGCCCTTTTGGTTTCATTTATATATTTGGGTGTCCCAGGCCAACTCCTTGGTTTTGCATCCCTCCCTGTCACAGGTGCCTCATTCCAGGACCCTATTTAGCCTTAACTTGCAGAGAGTCCCAGTAAGGAAATATTTCCCAAGTAAGTGGATTAATCTCATAAGAGCAAGCATTAGGCTGCTAGAGTAGGACCTGCCAAGAATGGGATACATTGACGTTGTGGCAGGCTTATGCTAAATATGATCATATAATGTATCTAAATCCCCATATTTTTTTTGCCTAGGTAAGGTGTTTTTAAATAAAACTATTACAATCTCTAAGATCTGAAATGATTGTTTAGTGAATAAGCGAGTTTGCTGGATTGTGTATTTTGTATATTTTGGCCCCAGCAGCACCCTATAATGTATGCATGTTCAGGTGAGTGCAGCCCTTTTGGTTTCATAAGTATTGATTGCGTTCATGTTGTTAACTTAAAGATTTATTGTATATTGTACTTTTTTTCTTATGAGGTACTGCAGCCCAAATCTTTGTACGCCTCGCACGATAACTACCCAGATGACGCCATTTTAGCAGCAAGAACTGGCTGAAGAGTAAAAACGTGTCACGTGGAATGTTACTATAGCGGGCTGTTTATATGTGGTCCAGAAGCCATTCTTAAATAGTATGCAAACCTATCAACTGATATTTTGCTAAAAGCTGTAATCAAGTTTATTGTGTTTATGATGTGTTAAGGCCCTAGAGTAAAGCTGTAAGCAACAACATGTCTTTAGTTTCTCACTAATATAACGTTGTTAATTATTTTAAAAGGTAAATTGTCTGGTTAGAAAGCATCAGCAGTATATTTGTTTTATAACATTTTGTCATACTGTATGCATTGTTTGCTAATCTTTATAAGTTACAAGTGTAAATGCCTGTTTTCATTCGTAGCCCTTAATAGCGAGTTTGAGCCAACACTCATTCAAAATTAAGTTTCAGCTACATACACTTGAAATGGAAAGCCACACTAGAACAAAATGTTGTCACCTGCTGAAGAAACAGACAAACCCACAGAGGCACAACAGATGCGGTCCAGCTCCAAAGAGCGAAGCTTAACAGAAAAAGGCCAAGAAATGCATGAAGAAACTGCTAAGAAAAATGAAAAGGTATCTAACAATGCGTATGACTCTTGGAAGGAGCTAGCAAAAATGTTGTACTTGAAGAATTATCTCAGAGGTGACGCAGTAAGGCAGTGGAAGGGTTCTTTTATCGAAATTCAGAAGATGCTTATCTAGGTGCTTGGGGTATCCTACAAGAAAGGTATGGAGGTCCATTCGTCGTTCAAAGAGCTTTCAGAGAAAGGCTAACTAAATGGCAGAAGATACTAGCAAATTACCCTATAGCATTAAGAGAGTTTGTAGATTTCCTCCAAGATTATGTTGAGGCCATTCCTCATGTTAAGGGCGTAGCTATTCTAAATTATTGTGAAGAAAATCACAAGCTTCTCAGGAAACTGCCTGAATGGATCAAACATCGTTGTGAACAAGTTAGATAAGTCTCAAGAATATCCAACTTTTGCTTGTTTCAGAGAGCTCCTGCAAAAGGAAGCTAACATACAGAGAAACACAGAACCTGTCAAACCACCGAACAATGATTCAGGAGCCACAGGAAGTAAAGCCAACAACAACGTTCCCAAAGTTATGTCCCATACAGTAACCAGGCATACTTCTGCCATACCTTGTATTGTTCCAGTCCTGTTGTCAGCTGCAGTTGAACCCCAGAGAGAAATCCTCATTTACGCCTTACTTGACACGCAGTGATTCAACCTTCATTTTAGTAGACCTAGTATCTCAGCTAAATGTGAGCCGCTACAACTAAAGCTCAGCACAATGACAGCTGTTAACACAGTCATATCAAGTCAAATTGCTCATGGTCTGCAAGTGCGTGGCTTCTACTCTAAGGCTCAAGTCCAACTCCGTCAAACTTACACAAGAGATTTCATCCCAGTAGATAAGTCTCACATTCTCACTAAGGAGACTGCACCCCAGTGGTCACAACTCAAGCACTTGGCAAACAAGCTACAGCCACTTCAAGACTGAGAAGTCGGACTGCTGATCGGTTATGACTGCCCATTAGCACTGGTTCCCTTGGAGGTCGTTACTGGCTCTGAAAATGAACCCTTCGCTGAAAGAACTGTGCTCGGCTGGAGCATCATAGAATCAATAAATCCACATATTGATAGACAGGGTAGCCAGAGCTTTGTGCACAGAGTTGCAGTAAAAGAAATGCCAATGCCCCCTGTCACCGATGTTGCCTTAGCAATGGACTTCATTGAAAGAAATTGTGAGGACAAGTTCGTATCTCAAGATGACGTTCACTTTGTGCAGTTTCTCTCTGAAACCATAATGAAAAGAAAAGATGGACACTATGAGATGCCATTACCGTTCAAAGATAACAGTCAACCAATACTACCCAACAATGAGAGGCTGGCCATTATTCAACTCCAACATCTTAGGAAAAGGTTGAAGGCCTACAAACAGTGCCATGAGCACTACACTGCATTCATGGAAGAAACAATCAGAAAGGGAGATGCAGAAACAGCCCCTTCATTGTCGGAGGGAGAAGCAGTGTGATACATCCCACATAACAGGGTTTATCACCCCAAGAAACCACAAATTCCCTAGTTGGGGTTCTCTGTCACTTCAGGAAGGAAGCAGTTGCCATGATATGCGACATTGAAAAGATGTTCCATCAGTTCTACATCCCACCAGAAATGCGCGACTATTTAAGGTTCCATTGGTGAGAGTGGTCAGTTGGAAACGGAACCCAAAGAGTACAGAATGGCAGTTCACCTTTTCGGTGCCAGCTCCTCTCCAGGATGTGCCAACTTCGGCCTTAAGTATCTTGCGTGACAACACAAAGCAGATTATCCCTCAGTGTCAGCCTTCATTGAGAAGAACCTTTATGTTAATGACGGCCTAACTATTGTTTCAACAATCAGTGAAGCTACAAATTTGGTTATTGAAGCACAAGAACTATGCAAAAATGCTGGCTTACAACTACATAAGTTCAACTCTAACAAGAAAGATGTACTGTCTTGTGTAGCTCCGTCAGAAAGAGCAACAACTAGTGAACCTCTCAAACTTAACCCAGACTCAACACCAAAAAGACAAGTGCTTGGCATTCAGTGGTCAATTGAAAATTACACTTTTCAGCTTCAGCGTTGATATAAAGGATAAACCCTTAACTAATCGTGGTGTCCTGTCAGTGGTGCCCTCTCTTTATGACCCTCTAGGCTTCATAGCTCCTTTCATACTGAGTGGCAAGTGCATTCTCCAAGAGCTTTGCTGCAGGGGTATCAGCTGGGATGTAGCACTTCCTGAGAGTTTAGGCCCATGGTGGGAGGCCTGGAAGAGTAGTCTGCAAGCTTTGAAGGAAATCAAGATACCCAGATGCTACCATCCTTCAGACTTCAATGACACAGTGAAGGTGGAACAACACCACTTTTCTGATGCCAGCAATGTAGGATATGGTGTCTGGTTATACGTTAGGTACAAGAATGACACAGGTCAAGTCCACTGCAGTTTTGTAATGGCCAAAGCAAGAGTTGCACCAACAAAGATTGTGAGCATCCAAAGGCTGGAACTCTCAGCCGCAGTCACTGCAGTAAAGTTGAGTGTTATGTTAAAGGCAGAACTTGAGAGAGAGAAATTGACAAATAATTCTTCTGGACAGACTCCCAGGTAGTCTTAGCATACATTAACAATGAAGCAAGAAGATTTCACGTGTTTGTGGGCAATCATGTTCAACTCATAAGAGAAAATACAAATCCAACTCAGTGGCATTATGTGGATACAGCACAAAATCCAGCCGACTATGCCTCCAGGGGTCTTCACGTAGCAGATATTTCCTCCTTAAGCTGGTTATCTGGGCCTAGTTTTCTATGGGAACCTGAAGGGTTCTTATTTCCAAGTCCTTCAGCAGAACTGATTGTAGGCGGCCCTAAAGTTAAACTCCTCGCAACCCTTGAATCACAAGTCAGTGAGCAAACTGGAGTTCTGAATCATCTGAACAAGTTTTCCAGTTGGAAAATGCTTATCAGGGTGATTACAAGAATCAAGATCGAAGACACATCAAGGCAGCAATCTTGTGACCGTGGAGGAACGTAGGAAGGCTGGGGAGGTAGTGATAGGTCTAGTTCAATAGCAAGTTTCCCCCCCAAGAGCTAAAACTTCTTCAAAAGGGAGATAGTATTTCAAGTTCAAGCCCTCTTAGTCACCTTGAACCCATTCGGGTTCAGGGACTTCTTCGTGTTGGTGGAAGACTGTCAAGATCAGCCCTTAGTCAAGAAACGAAAGCATCTTGTCATCCTTCCAAAAGATGGGCACATCACCCAGTTAACCCCTTAAGGACACATGACATGTGTGGCATGTTATAATTCCCTTTTATTCCAGAAGTTTGGTCCTTAAGGGGTTCATCTTGTCTCACAACCATGCAGCAACCTGTTACCAGGGCTGAAACCAGACACTAACAGAACTCAGAGCAAATGGATTTTGGGTACTTAATGGAAGAAAGGCAGTTGCCAAGTTGATACAGAAATGTGTACAATGTCAAAAGCTCCGGCACCCCACAGAGGAGCAGCGTATGTCAGAGCTCCCTGAAGAACGTGTAGATGTTTCAGCTCCCTTTACGTACTGTGGTATGGACTGCTTTGGCTCCTTTGTCACCAAGTAAGGGCGTAAAGAATACAACAGGTATGGTTTCATCTTCACATGCTTCTCCTCACGTGCCGTCCATATCGAGATGTTTGAAGACTTATCTACAGACGCCTTCATCAATGCTTAAGGTGCTTCATGAGCTTGAGAGGTGCTGTTTGCAAACTGTGATCAGGGCACAAACTTTACAGGAGCAAAAATGAATTAAAAGAAGCTTTAAAGCAATGTGACACCAAGGCACTGGAAGCTTTCCTAGCTGATAAACAGGGTGAGTTTATTTTTAAATGCCCCCTCCGCAAGTCATGCAGGTGGGGTCTGGGAGCGTCAAATTAGGACCCTTCATAATGTGTTAGTGCCACAACCCAACAGTGTTCAAGTAGGCTGGACAATGCTTCTCTTAGAACACTGTTTTATGAAGCCATGGACATTGTTAATAGTCGTCCTTTAACTGTCGATAGAATCAACAACCCCAAAGCACCCAAACCTCTAACTCCGAACCATCTTATCCTGATGAAATCTAAGGTCGCATTACCTCCACCTGGGAAGTTTATGAAAGAGGATGTATATGCAGCCAAAAGGTGACGTAGATTGCAGTATCTAGAAAAGCAGTTCTGGTGGAAAAGGGAATACCTCATGAGTGTTTCCACAAGAAAGAAATGGCACACACCTAGATGCAATCTGAAAGTAAATGGCATAGTCTTAATCAAGGAAGATATGTCTCCAAGATGCCAATGGCAGTTAGGACATATGATTGAAACTACAATAGAAAAGTATGGTTTAGTTTGTCGAGTCAAAGTGTTAGTAGGTGACCGAAGACTGACAGATAAGAAAGACCATGCATCAAAACCCCCAATAATTGAGCGTCCTATTCAGAAATTAGTAGTCCTTATAAAGAGTGAATAACATATGTACTAGTGTATCACTAAGCATGATAACACAGCACGCAGTTACAGAGGTACCTATAATCTTTTATTTACAGTTTACGAACATAACGGTCCATTTGTTATGTTCTGTAAATTATGTATGACTCTTTAATTTTATATTCGGTATAACATAATTTGGTGGGAGTGTAAGTGTCCGCTAGTAATTTTAAATCATTGTTCCGCACTGACGTCACCGGAGTCATTGCCCTGGAACTTATACAGACAAGTAGACCCTCCTTCCGCTAGATCTGGTGGCAAAAGCTCTCTGTGACACAGCATTTAGATGCCAAACAAGCTAGAAGGAGATCGATGTCAAAGTTTTCTAAGTTCAAATTTGCGCCCCTTGGCATAAAAGTATATGTTATAAGTATTAATTGCGTTCATGTCGTTAACTTAAAGATATTTTGTATATTATTCAATGTTTGTATGTGAAGCAGCCCAAATCTCTGTACATATGAGTTGTATACCATTAAGGCGATTTGATGTAATTTTGCTGTGTATGCAAGTAACTGAACTCCACATTACAATCCTGTATGTAATTCTTTCGATGAAACTCATGTATACAAATGTATTTTGTATTCCATGTTGTTTATAGTTTTCACATTATAGTGCTAAAGATATTAACGTTGGTGGTGTTCAGAGCGTTCCTGCACACTTCTATGCAAATAATAAAATACTGCAACCGTCAGCTCTATTTTCCCTTCTTTATAGAGTTTCTACACACTCTCATAGGGTAATATAGTAGTGACTCAAGGAATTTTCCACTATAAAATATATAGGTGATCAACTCACATTTTAATGAGCCTGTTAAGAAACTGGCTCAGGTAATATGGCTTCAGATATCAGAGGGATTCTCATTCAGAAATATCAGGAATGGTAGGTCCTCACAGTGAAGATAGATGAAGTGCACCAGCTTTCAGTTTAAAATCAAATGGTATTTATTACACAAAAGAAAAGTTAAAAGCTTACAAATAAAGTGCCTCTATCCCACAGTACATAAGTCCAAAATAAGCACAACGTGTACCTTCCTCAGGTGCATGGTTGCTATCCATGTAGTTCCGATTTTTAAAACCCTTTTTGGCACCAAAATTCAAGGTGGGAACGCCCCTTTGCTTAATTAACCAAGTCTCCTCCTCCCTTTACACCTCTCGCAGCCGCCATATTGGTGCTCATGAGGCTGCATGATGTCACTTCCGTTTTCCAGTCATTATGCGTTCCAGTGGCCATTTTATGCATTCCACTGGCGTCATATTTCCTGGATTAAGTGCAATCGCCTTTTAAATCATTGTAAATCTCGTCCTGCTGTTTCTACTCCTCTGAGTCCAAGCAGGCCATTACATTTAAAGGCACGGTGTACATATAAAGAACAATGAATAGAGAAAGAGAAAAGTCATTATAACAAACAAATGTTTATATAAAATGTAATACAAATTAAAATATATAAGTTGCATTTAAAACATGTTTAGTATACTAAATAAATATATTCGCACATATCAAAGTCTATATTTAAACCATACAAAGAGAGGGTTTCTAAATGAAAGATCCATTCCATCTCAATTTTATTTAGGATTATAAGAAGACCACCCCCATCTCCATGGTTTAGCCACTTCATGTATATAAATAAAATGCATTAATTTAAAATCACAATTAAGTGCAGGTGTATGTGTTTAGGGTTTGTATTATGTGTGTGTTTGTGCAGGTACATGTATCTAGGACCTGCAGTGTGTGTGTGTGTGTATATTGATATGGGCTGGAGTGTGTGTTTGTTTGTATTGGCACTTTTATGAATTCATCTTGTTATACCCAATGGCTATCAATCAGTCAGCCAGACCTGTTGCTTCCTGAATTATAGTTGGCTCAGCGGGGCAAAACTTAAGAGACAACAATTGCCCAGAGCATCTTCCTGGCAAAGACGTTTCATTGAGCAGAATTGGGAAGTCTATGATTGGACAGCCACAGAAAGTCTGATCTGAGCAAGAAGTGTAGGGTTTGCAA